TTTCATAAGTAGAAAAAGACTAACATTTAAAACAAAATTAGGAGATGTTGTGTCCAATACAGTTTCAACTGTCTTACTACTTTCAAAACTATTCATAACACAGAGAAAAAGTAATTTTAATTAGGAGGTGTTGTATCCAAACTATTTTGATTTCGTTAATTCCGCATTCAACCACTTCGAAAATTCCTAACAATCATCTCGAAAACGATTATAATTGAAGAAACATTCATATTTCATAAGTAAAAAAAGACTAACATTTAAAACAAAATTAAGGAGGTGTTGTGTCCAATATAGTTTCAACTGTCTCACTACTTTCAAAACTGTTCATAACACAGAGAAAAACTAATTTTAATTAAGAGGTGTTGTATCCAAACTATTTTGATTAAAAGCTTTTCAACTTTAGCCAATATAGATTTAAAGATGGTATGCAATGGGAGGTGTTGTGTCCTTTTGATTATTAAATGTGAAACTGTAGAAACACTTCTTCAACATCGCCCGTTTTAACAGCTTTCTTGCCGTTAAAATCCGTGTATTGCGGCGGGCCCGTTCGAAATCCAATTACGCGCAAATTAATTACGCTCCAATTAATGTCATCGCAGGGGAAAATCGGGCGCGATTAATTAATTAATATCAAGTCATCAATGAATTAACGTAATCTGCGTTCAAGAGGATTGGAGCGCACGACGACGACGCGTTTCGAATTCAATTTAACGATAGCGTGCAACGAATCTCTTTTAAACTTTTAAACTAACATTTCCTTAACCTTACTTTTTTTTTGTTGGATTTTTTTTCTTAGGTTAAATTCTTATTATCAATAGAGACGCTAGATTAGCGAGGATTTACGTGTGATTGATGCGTATCAATAATAATAATGCGAAATCCCACACAGCACAGCAAACGCGAAAGCAATTTTCCGGCAGTGATTAACCTGCGAGGAGAAAATTACGTTCGCGTCAATCACGGGGCGGGATTCGTGCGCCGGAATGGGTCTATTATCTAATCAGAACTGACTGAAATACTCGTACACTCTGTTTATGTGTGTTTCCGTTCAAGAAATAAATACGTTAATACGCTTGAAATTAAAGTACTCTGAAAGTGTACATTTCTTGACACAACACCTCCCAATTTTGTATATTCGAACACCTCAATTATTCCAAACTTGAAATCAAAGATCTTGAAATAGTTCAAACTTTAACACAACACCTCCTTTTTAAGTATTATTTTTTTGTTAAATTTAAACAATTAAAGCAAGTTCTGAAAAGAAGGAAGCACTCTAATACTCTTTTCTACTTACTACGTCTATTTTTCTTCTTCTCGCGGCGCTGCGGTTCTGTGCATCTGTATACCGCTGTAACATTCTGCTTTTTCAGATATTTATTGCTGAAATATGTAAAATCGTCGGCCCGGTAATGCCGGATCATATATTCGCGGACTTCGCAACATATATAAAGTTTCCACTTGCCGCATGCATATTTATAACGGAGAATTTAATATTTACAAACATTACTTTTCGCCTTCTCTTTTATTCATTCATACGTTGGGACTTTTTTTTTTTTTTTTTCATCGGATTTCATTAAGAGAATTATTTCGCTTCTGTGCTTCCATCCTAATTAGCGTGCATTTTGTGTATCGGTCATTTGCATTTTTCAACGATCCATTAGAGCAGGCGATGATGAATAAAAGTGAAAAAACAGTGAAAAAGCGCTGCAATTAATAACTAATTAGAGTGCAACACGATACAGGATTATGTTTCCAAAGGTTGACTTCTATCACTCAGGGAATCAAGTTTTATAAAATTATTATTTCATTTCGTTTTTTTGTAGCGTAATGTCTATCGATTATGAAATAATCCGTTTCATAATTCGTGCATTCATGAATAATGCAGCGAATCTAATCGTCGTTTTAAATGTTGATTTCGATATGCGGAATTCGTGTTACCATTACACCTCCTTTTGACGTATATACAAGCGTGTATTTACAGTGCATTCCGTTTCTGTTTGCAGAGAACCTGCAGGCGCCGAGGTTCACCACATCCTCATCCACGAGCAGCATCATCAGACTGGGAACCACAAAGATCATGCAATGCCAGGCATTCGGTGAGTACAAATTAATCGTAACCCTTCATCCAAATACGCGTATCCATATTTGAATTTTGACACACGTCACTCATCTGTCATCTGTATTTGCTCTTAACCTATTTCAATTGACATTTGACATTTAATGATGCAACTGTCATCTGTCATTTAATTATCTGCAGCTGTTGTTTTGTTTTTTTTTTTTTTTTGAGGTTTACAGTTACATGGAAGACGTTACTTTTAGGTAT